TAACCAGCCTTTCGGCAGTCTATGCGTCTGCGGGAAAGATGGAAGGGATGGTCCTGAATCATTTATCACATGGAAAGACGAGCGGCCAGGATGGAGTCCAGTTCGTACCGTGGCCAAAGTTGACGACAGTCTGTTTGGGTTCCGACCTGTGGGTCAACGGCCGAGAAGTAACAAGAGCGTTCATCGCAGCGCGCAGAGAAGATGGACACCCTATCTCTACAGTCATTTTCAAAGGCAGTGCCGAACAAATGGAGGATATCCTTTCTGCGAGAACTGAAGCCGGCGTGGGTGTTGAAATCAAATTCTGCAGTCAGAACATCATCTGGCCCGAGAAGAGCTCTGACGTCGATCAGGAAGATACCTTATTCCGCTAGAGCATCATATATGTTGTTAAAACCAAGTAGAAATGAAATTGTATGTTTTTGTGAGCCCAAATCTGAAAGATCGTTATTCATCAGTCAAACAGTGGAGGTGAAATGAACGAACGAAAACCTTATTCAACTCTTTCCCGCTTGTAAACCCGATCCCGCATTCTCGAATTCAATATGCCTGCTTGCATAGCATTTGTGAGATACAAACTGGCCACAGATGCGAGATTTGATATGTCAAACACGCTCCTCCGCAACTGCTAAGCTTGACTTACGAGTACAAAATTTGGAAATCGTCGTCCTTGGGGAGTGGTCGTAAACTGCTAGTTTATCGACATGCGTGACAGTCCAACGTCGACCTGATCCATATTCGATGAAGGGTGTTGCAGTGTTGAGCCCTGAAGCACAAGATCTGGTCTGAGAAGAGTCCATCGTCCAGTCGTCATTTCTGAACATCGCGTCGCCAGCTCTGCAGTTTACTGGACACTGTTCCGTGCTCCATGAATATCACTTGGAAGTCGCCACCGGTATACGTGATTAGGTGCCGTTTCTATGGAAGTATATGACTAGAAGAGCGAAGCAACTGGTGGCTGCCGGTATCGTGTCAAAGATGTTCTTTCCTGAAGGTTGGCAGAAAACGTACTGAAATTGGCGCTGGAAGGAAGTGAGGGCAGTGTTTTATCAAAATCGGGGTATGCAAGATGGTAACGAGTTGATATCGAGAGGTAGCAACCGATAGCTTTGCGATAGAGTTTGACGATAGTATCGCAGAAACCCAGAGGTTGGGGGGTCGAGACCCTTATTTTCAGGTTCCGAGTCACACAAAAAAACAATACGCGTGAATCAGAGCAAGTGACCGACCTTCAGAGTATATGAAAGTACCATTTTAGCACATTGGCAGTTGCTGTCTGCCATTATGGCCTCGAGGGGTTGTCAGAGAATGAGCTAGTTCTTGACGAAGTTGCGTTGGCGTTTCTGCTAACTGCGGAAAATCCGGGCCGCTCCAGCTGATGTACAGATTTCAATTGTCTAGGGTACAGGAAAAGGATATATGAAGTATTTTTTGTAGCCAGAGACGCGGCGTAACAAAAAGACAGCTAACGAGAATTTTGTAACAAATTGTCCTGGGAGAGGTAACTACAACCGCGCCAGATTGAACCCAGCAGCCATACATACATGCGTGAGTCCGAGTCAGACGGTCGACGCGGCTACTTGTAGATGTGCAATAGTATTCAGATCCCCAAGCGGCATGCATCACATTGTCCGGCAAGCCTTCCTAAGATCATGTCGTGGCTATCATTCAGACTTGATTGCATATTTTAGCAGCATTATAGGATGAGAAAGAGACACGGAAAGCATACTGTTGAACGCAAGTCTCGATACAAACATGATTGTTATCGTTGTCAAAGTGGAAAGAGCTGAATTTACAGGTTTGTTTATGACAATCGATCTATGCATAACTTCAACTTTATCTCAGAAAGAAAGGAGAATTCGACTGACTCGGTGTCTCTCGTCGACGGTAGCATGATGACAATTCTGATATGCTTTCAGGACGTGAAGAAGAAAACACATGTTTGATCCTTGAACGACTGGGTTGTTGGCGAAACTTCAAGGAACAGATCCTTCTTTATATATATGTAGGCAGAACCATATTTATTTTTGGCTGACACCATCTAAAAATGCACCAGCCAGCTGGGTCCTTTCCGTCAGGTCAGCTCTTCACATTCTCTTAAATAGAAAGCATATATACATCACCTAGCAATACAAATAATAGGAAGAGCACGTTGATCGCCAATGTCGAACGAAAAAAGAGGGTATATCTCCCAAAAAGGAGTTCAATTCTCTGTTTTGTTCGAGGATTAGGGATCTGGCAAAATATCGAGCTGATACGCACTGTTTTGAGATTTTCTATTGCTTCCTTGTCACTTCACTGTCTTGTCATAACGGGCAGCGAATTCCTCGAGTCATGAGTTCATGCATGGAGGGTGCGATTTACGTCCTGGGTAATTGATTTTGGCCTTGGAAGGTTACGCTAGAGTTTACAACCACAGATCTGGTTCCTGCACACAAACCAGCTAATACTCCGGCGTCAATAAGATCTATTCCACGCCAATCTTGCGCTAATATGAAAGATGGATGTACTCTTTTATGGTAGCGGGGTGTCCAGAGCGACCTTCTCGACTAAACGAGATGATCAGATAGGGAGTTTAACAGACTTGGGCATTGCACAGACACACCTATGTACCGTCCGTCTCACGTTCTCCCGTAGGCGAAGCTCAGAAGGCTCCGGCACGGATTCCGCAGATGACCCCAAGGTTCGAGTTTTACTCGTGCGGTGATGATAACGGCGCGGGGACGACGATTCGTCTGTTTGACGTCGCCCAAACGTTTTGCATTGAATTTTTCAAAAACGCAGATCTTCGACTCTTGAGGTTCAAGGTATAAGATTGATGCAGAAAGCATTTGTTTATGAGAAGACTTACTTGCCATTTGGAATGGCAGTCTCAGAACATCCATCATGTACGCAAATGGGCAGCCAGAAATCAAAGACAGCCCGAAGCATCTATATAGCATCAAGTATGGTCTTCTGCTGGCATTTCGCTTAGTCTCTGGTGGTAGGGAAATCGTCAGAAATTGAGATATGGCATCAATAAAATTACACTTACGCCATACATACCGCATCGTCTCAAATCTATTTGAGGATCTATGAATATGCCCCATGCCACGACGACGTGTCACCGTGATCTTCGCCCAGAACAGCTTATGAGACTCAGGTATTTGAACAACATCGGTCAATTGTTCCCACCACTCCTCGAAGGCATTAAAGCTGTCCTTATTATTTTTTTAATGAATTCCATCGAGTTTCCGGACTATTCTCCTTTTGTAACGATGAATGGCGAATGAGGTTTGGAAGATGAGGTTCACAAGGTGGGGCCGCCTAGGCGAGAAATCGGTTACTGCAACGAAGTCAAAAGGTGCACGTTGTGAACTGCGTGCCCAGCATGCGGATTCTTGGTACCTCCTGTAAAACAGGTTTGAGTTGACCAGCCAAATCTCCGATAAGGCTTGAGCTTGAATAGCTTAAGTATTTGGATGTTTGAGTTCCAACTACTGAATGCACTCACAGCGCCTCGCCAAAAGATTGCTGCTCAGGCACTTTATAAGTACATTTTTTATGTCCGTCGACTGAAATTTGCACGCAAGTCAAGGATCGAAAGGTAAGTCAGGCAGGAAAAGAGATGTTTGCGAGTCGACAGCGCCCAGAAACCGAGTCAATTTGCAAATGTGGTGCCAGGTACATTTTGAATTTCCGATTCTTCGGCTAGCTTCGGCGGACTCGACGCAACCTGACCCCGACTTAAAGTTAAACTCGATTGTCCTCCACACTACTTACGTTCCTTCACACTGCACTATGCACTAACCAGCTAGAAAGATTGTAGTTATCCGGCATTTTGTTTCAAAGATGTCCATCGCTATCTCATCCCTTGAATGATGCCAAATCGTCGTCTCTGGCATCTGCCTACGTAGTCACGGTATTGCTGGCAGCTCTAGGGGAAAACCGCTGTATTCTGGACACGCTACATTACAGCATCTCTGCTCTTTTTTAATCTCTCCGAAAAGGCCGTTGGAAGAAGCGCGCTATTATGATCACTTGGAACCGCTGTCCGTCTAGATCCCAAGATATCTTCTATTCATTTCTGGGGTGAAAGCAAGGCCTTCTCTGTTATCTACATTTATATTTATCAATCAGCTCTCACCAGCATCTAACTTTCTGCAATACTCGACAACCATGGTGGGATATGGCCACACCCCCGGGACTCAGGAATTCTTGTTTACAGTGTTCTGCATGACTTAATTCACTTGCTAATTGGGTAAGTCTGCATCCACAGTTTTTATGCTTTTAGTAACGCTATGGCTAGCCCGGGCTAACACAAGGGGTGGCTTATTGGCCAACGGTAATACCAATGAACTATTTAGCGTTTTTTTTTTGGGAAACGACGCACTTCTCGAGGCTTATCATTCTGGAACAATGAAAGTTGATCCGGTAAACTCAAAGTTTTCTGGCCATCCCTTTGTCGATCCTCGGAAAACTGTGGACCCCGAAAGTCTCGCAGGGCGATTAAAATACAATTCGGCCATGTCGTACACTGACTCTCCGTCTCGTACACGGTCATTGCATTGCCATATTCTTCCAAGCATTTAGCCAGTGTGGGTGCTGTTTTTTGGTTCATACACATATGTCCAATCTATGGGAAGCGCTGGAGACGGCGTGTTTCTCCTCACATCGGAAAACCAAACTGGCTACAGTGTGAATATGCTGCCATCCTCTTCTCCATTGCTTCTGAGATTCTTGCAAGCTCCATCAAAGTATTTGAGTACTGTCAGAGGTTTTGAAATTTCAAATCATAACGAGATCATCGCGCCATCGCAATCACTAACAGCAACTTGAAGGATACTTACAATATTTCAGATTGTGAATATGAAGAGAGAATACCTTCAAAAGGTTTCTGGATTGTCATTCAATAGGTTATGGGATTATTACTGTCTTGAGAGCTGATTTGTCTGCGCAGGTGGAAAAGAACCTAGCGGCAAATTCAGACCCGGATTAGGAAGTCCTCTTTAAAACTTTAAGCCCGCCTAGCTCAATCGGATAGAGCGTCAGACTTTTAAGGCGGGTTGTCTTATGACATCTGAAGGCTGCGAGTTCGACCCTCGCGGTGGGCTATATGAAATCATTTTTTATTCAAACTGACTTGCAACATTCAAAAATGCGATTTAGTCATCCATGTCTTGTACAAATCCCCTTCTATGTCATCCGGAGAATATGAAACAACTTCAAAGCCTATATTCTCTTGAGGTGTCTCTCTAGTATACCGCTGAATGCTTGCAGCTATGCATTCCTTCATAAATATATAGTCAGAATTCAGGTAATCAAGTAACTTGGGTGGATTGACTACTGTGATAATTTGAATCGGACATGCGGCGTTTGTCAAATCTAACCACTTGCTATGCTTGGAGAATAATATTAATGTTACGCGAATAAAGGTATCCAGGATGTCTTCTTGCTTTTCTTCGGTGGGAAGTGAGCTCACAAAATGTGGTGCTTCGAATTGAAGATGCATAAGATGAGGAACGCGCTTCCAAAGTGGCCAGTCTTTATCATCATTGCCGATGGTGCCTTGTTCAAAGTAGCATGTTTCGCAATCATCACTAGTTCCATAATGATCACTAGCTACACTTGCGTTAAAATCTTCTCAGAACAATGCCCTAATTGCGGGAGTGGACCGAAGCGCAGTGTAAAGCTCGATGAACGCTTTTGAGGATCGAGAAAACGACGCTTCAGAGGAGAGCGAGAGTGTTTTCAAAGCAGGTAGGTGAAGATTAGTAAACATCATGCTCAAAGGGCGATTCCACCAGTCTTCTGAGGGAATATTGCACGTAGTAAGGATGCTGAGATAAAGTGCCGAAAGGTGTTGGTGGGTGTACTGTGTTGGTTCTAATTGATCAACTTTACCGTCAAGGAAAATCCTCTGAAGTGAGCCCCACCGTAGCATTGGGAGTGCGCGGACGAGCGAAAACCAGAAGTACTTTGGGAGCAAGGATCAGGGAATGTAAGGATAAATGAGTTAAGGAAGACCATGCAACCGGAATGACCTTGTCGTCTGGCAGCGTCTGAGAATTAAAAGCCACGCGTCCCAATCCCGAAGTAGATGAAGTGCTATCAACGAGAAAATCTTGGATGCAATAAAAAGGAGCAAGACCAGCTTCGTTCCAATTCTCATTATATGGTATCACATTGCAGAGGTTCGGGAATGCAAAGCTTTGTCCAGCTTCCATCCGTTTCTTCATGCAATGCCAAAAATATATGTCAATGTTGAGATGCATCGCTGTAGTCATATACTCCAGAAGAAATGGTAACACATTTCTTGCAAGTATATATTCTTCAACACCTTCGCCATTGTCATCTGAGTCTGAATCCGAGTCGTCTTCGGAATCAAAATCCCTATACCTGTCAATTTGGAGATAAAGGACTGGAGCCAATGCGCCCTGATTCTGTCTCCATTTACGAACAAAGTCGATCTCATGTTTAAGAAAAGTCCAGGAATCAAGATCGTCGTCGACTTCGTATACCGTGAAGTAGAACCTGAAATGACACCAGAGCTGTGGAAAACTGGATGCGACGTCTCTGCAGAACGAGCAGATCTCGCAGAGAAATAGTGGCACATAAATAATTGCAGCCATCAAAAGGGATCTCTGAAAGACAGTACATGAATATCTTTGTTAATATCTCGGTGGGAAGCTTGCAAATTGGACTAGGTGGTGGTTCGAGAAAAGACATTTTTCCACTGAGACATGAAGGGTGAGTTGAGGGCCCCAATATTCTTGCAATGCTTTCGGAGTGCAATACCTTATGTTTATATATGCACATTTGAGTATCGAGAAGAATGGCACAAAGGGTTCAAGTTGAACATGGCCAACAGATGCGATGGTTCTGGTCCATGAAACGCGCCTATTACATGGACAGAACATTGGAAGTTAGGCCAGTCAAAGAACTGAACGTGTTAACAGCAAGCATCAATTCCACGACCTTTGAAGGTCAGAATGAAACAAAGTGTGTTTTTACACCCGTATGCTGGACAATGGACAGGCAGAGACGCGCAGCTCTTTGACGCCCTTGAGCTTAAGCCTCTCAGTCCTGCATGTGGGTTGCCCAGCTTAGATACAGAGAAAATTTTGTTCGAAACAGATAAAGCATGCTCAGACCAGACAAAAAAGATGTTGAAGGTTGGTGAAGGAGTTACTCAAACGTTCAAACGTTCAAGTTGCGTCAGAACCAATCGATCACGCGATCACAGTCAAGATTAGATAAGATGCCCTGTTCCCCGTCACTGTAACTCGAACCTGGATGGCTCAGTACTAGGTGTAATCATGTTTGAAGGGTATGTGATTTCTCATCCTTATCCGATTGTCATTGACTTGCGAATACACTAAATTCAATAGAAAGAAGCATAATCTATGTTGAGGCTTCGTTGGCATAGAACACAACTTCGTCCTTCAACGTAGCCATTACAGCTTCCTTGCCGTGCTTCGGGACCCAACCAAGCGCTCGTGCGCGATCAGCCTTGGCATGAGCATTACTCGCAAGAATTGTCCACGGGAATGACTATAAAGTAAGTTGTCCGATTAGAGACCCCTTAATATGAGCGGGAAAAAAAAAGAAACGAAACATAGAGTACTTACCCCGAAGTATTTCTCCAACTCCTCTTGGGAATAAGCACTCGTTTCACGGGAACTGGCGATGCCCAACTCGAAAAGCTTGTCGGATACAATTTGCGCCATTTCGAGCATGGAATATTCGAAACTCTCAGCGAAGTAATACCCCTCAGGTCCATGACCAGCAACAGGGGTGTTTCCGATCGCGGCATCAAAAACAACAATGAAGAGGTCGGCAGCTAGAAATTAGAAATGAGAAATGACGTTTAAAGAATGAGCGAAGTGATACTGCGGTACTTACTATCATTGTTATCGACCGCCGACCAGGTATTCAGGCCTTTTCCGAAATACCCCGCTTGCTTGCGAGAAATGGCTGGCTTCATAAAGAATGGCGAAAGTATAGTGTGCATATTCTGAATCTCCAGATCGGCGACAGGACCCGAAGGATGACCCAATACTGCTCCTACAAAGGACGCAAACATTGGTCACTGTAGAGTTCATTTAGCAATTTGGGCAAAGCTATGTACCTGGTATTATGATGTAGGCCTTGACAAATCCAGCCTTATCTGCTTCGATGACGGGTATGTCGACGTTTCTGTGAAGTAAGGTTTCCGGGAGCGCGTTCAGTGCCTCGGTGTCCAGATCACTGTAAGTTCGATGATCTGCATGGAGGCCTCGAGCGTCGTCCGTGATGAAGGCTGTGTAAATTGTAGGTGTTTAATGCACAAGATATCGTCTTCCAGACAATATTCCGTACCTGCGCCAGACTATGCAAACCAACTTGTCAATCGATGTGGAAGATCCAGCAACATACATTCTTACAGTGTGAATAAGAATGGGCACTTTCCCGGTCTTTTCGTGGTGAATCTTCAAGCCCGCTAAAACAGCCAGAGCCGCAGGAACGTTATCAGAATCAGCCTAGCCGCAGGATAGTCAATAACTATTAATGAAGGAAAATGATCGAAGACAACAATTGCAACGCACAATTGCGAATACGACGTCAGCCTTGGAAACAGCTTCGATTAAGAAGTCCAGATTCTCGTCTGTGTACGAGCCTAAGACTGTTTTGATTCCCAGACTTTGTAACTTCTTTGCTTTCTCGGCGGAGCGTACGAGCGCAGTGATGTCGAAGGACGCAGCTTTGGGATGTTGCAGAAGACGTCCAACGACGGTACCGCCGATGTAACCTGCATTTATACATCAGAATCGATGGCATTTGAAAGAAAATTTGGGCCAAACGCACCAGTTGCGCCAGTCACGAAGATATTGAGTTTTGCAGACATCTGAATTCGGAGAATTAGAGGGACACGTTGTTATTCAAAAAATTCGGGGCCTTGGATGCCTTCTTATATAATGGTGATTCTCGGTCAAAATAGAGTTAGGATTTTGACCCATTAACAATCTGGACAAAGACTTAGATTAGGTGTGTGTTGGACACTTTCCGAATAGGGCATACCGATTACCTTGCGATTACTCATCAAACATAAGCGCTGACATATTTTGTCGTGAAAGTGGTGTCCATTTTGTACCTAAATGATAATTATGGGCGCAGTTGAACAAAATGGTGCAAGTAAGAGCAAAAAGGGAGACGAGTTGTTGCAGATATGTCGGAATAAGCTGACAACGATTTTACTAAGCAAGGTGAATTATTAATTTATGGGAGAATTGGACATACTTCTGTGCGCAATACTCGCTGAGACGTTTTCTTGCGCCATCCGCCACCCTATACACAAGGGCTGTCAGGATGCAGTCGACTTGGGAAGGAGGGTGGTTAACAAGTGCGAAGAGGTTTGGTTGTGTCGTGTATGCACGGAGTTGAACATTCCCATTCAAAGCCTAGAATCATCATGTTACACCTTCAATTTTCTTAACGTTCAATACGTGTTTGGTGAGAAAGAGTGCAGGGAAACACACTTGCGAGATCCCTGCTGGTGGTCGTGTAGGATAGAGAGTTCAAATTTCTGCGGAGATTCAACACTGCAGTGCAAGTTTCCCACCAACCGTCTCATCAAACTACCACACCGCTCGAGTCTTGAAGCTTGAAGCTTGACCATCTCATTCTGAACGGCCACTTTTGCCCATTCGCACTAACCAGAAGTTCTGATGGATTCGGGGAGCAGGGAGACGATAGAGGATCCAACATGGAATCCAGCCTGGTGCGGAATGAGACATGCCCCGATTTGCGCACTCTTGATAACTTCCCTACCTCCCAGATCGACTGCACCCACTGTCCCTATTGATAGCAATGCCACAACGGCGAAATCGCATATACACGTACGACGCGTCATGGCCATTGATCATGAAAGAGCAAAATCTCTGTCGCGCTTTTTTGACCGCGACAGCAATAGGACTTGAGTGCGGACACCACTGGAGGAGGAACATGGAACATTCGCTATTATGCCACTGTTGGCGAAGACACGAGCCGTAAGGCATGGTATGTTCATTTCTCTTTGCATCTCTGTTCCCATGTCTTACCCTTATGAACCAGGCGAAAAGACTGGCAGCAAGGA